AACAGCAGCTTCATTCGTACCATACAAAGATACATAGTATAAAGAAAGATAGAAAGAAAGAATGAATGAATGATTGAAAGTAAAGGAATAAAAAAAGAAAAGAAAGAATAATCAAAGAATATGAAATACTTAAGTATTATCTTGGTTATATTTATTCGCCAGCCCACTTCATAAGCGTGCAGCACATAAGCGTACCGCTTGTAGCTATAAAGCATGCCGAACCTTATGTCTTCCCCTGACTAAACTTGTAATTTTAAAGGCAGGCAGGCAAGCGTCTACGGTTAGTACACGTCATTGACTTTATTTCGATTTGTGCAAGTAAGTAACATACTCGCCTATTTCTTTTCTATCGACAGGTAGTAGAATGATAGATATGGATACTCTATGCATACCTATTCAAGACCTATTTCAAAACGTTATACTAAAAATTAACCTCACGTTAAAAAACTTATGATAGTAGGAACTTATTATATGGCTCGAGAGTTCGTTAACGCGAATTTATTTTTATTTTTCCTGTAAATTATCGCTCTTAATTGGAAAGAACATTTACTGTTACATAGATAAGGTATCTTATTCGGAACAGGTATGAGATATACCTTCCATAAAGTTTATACTTAACAGTTTTAATAGAATCATAATTTAGATTAGTCAAGGATAAAGTAGAATCGGAACTGCTAAGCAAGAGCTCTTTTTTCTTGTTTTTTTTTTTTTTTTTTTTTTTTTTTTAATGAAAGTAGATAAGCAAGTTAATGTAATAAAACTTAGACTTGTGTATACACAGTTGTTATTGAATCATTGTCGAAATAAACGAATAGTCAAGAGTATCATCTCATCTATCGTAGTTGTTCATGATATTTCTAATATTAGATATGCAACTAACTAAGCCGTTATCGTCGATACACTTAATGATAAGAAATTCATTATGAACGCAGCAGGTACACTTTAGCTGTTTCTTTAGATAAGATAGGTTGTATCCGTGTTTTTAAGATAATATCGATGAAATCACGTAGAGACGTATGTTTCAGTCAATTTATAATCTACACAACGTTAGTGTTACATAGATTTAAAACTATTCAGAAAATGAATATTTTTTTGTTTAATAAGATCGATTCCGATGATGTGCTGCTGAAGATTTGGTTCATAGGATTTCATGTAATGAACGATAATAATCTTAGTAAAGCTTATCGATGGTTCAACGTAGGTAGGATAGGTAGGATAGGTAGGTAGGTAGGTAGGTAGGTAGGTAGGTAGGTTTGCAAATAGCGTCGGTTATGCGAAAGCAGCCTGAAGGTAAGAAAGTTAAGAAAAGAGAGAGAGAGAGAGAGAGAGAGAATATTTCTTGTGACGTCACTAAAGGTACGCGTTTACAAGAGAGAACGTCTGAGTTGCGCGTTTATGACCCGAGGAGGTAGAGAAAAGGAGGAGGAAGGATGCGAAGGAGTAGGAAAAAAAAGGACTTCAATGTACAAGGAGAAGAGAAGCGAAAGGAAGGGAAAACATTATCCACCCACGTAGGAAGAGAGAAAAAGAGAGAAAGACAGAGAGAGAGAGAGAGAGAAGTCGAGACGGACCTCGAAATTCCGCAGATAAAATCGACTCCGCTTGCTTGGCTTCGCCGACCAATATATTCATAATGGCCGTTCTCTCTCGGTCTTTCTCACCCCCATTTTTCGAATCTTTGATCTGCGGATATTTCGGTGAACAATCAAGAGCCCTATACTCGATTCTTCTATAAGAACAACCATGTCAAATATTTAGAACTTGGTTATATATTTTACGATTAATGCTATAACAACAATAATAACAAAAATGGTTGCAATAACTTTTAAAAAATTTGGTGATACTTACGTATTAACGACAGTGCAGCAAAAATTCTGCTAATGCGCCGAATAAAAAGCAATCTTGTTGTTTGCACATAGCAACCGTCAGGGTTTCGTCAGGGATGCATCAAAGTTGCGTCAGAGTTTCGTCAGGGTTTCGTTAGGATTTCGTCAGTGTTTTTGGTACGTAAGTATCAGAAATTTCTTCCGAAAAGATTGACAACGATTGGATTAGATTGGAAATGAAACAAAAAGAAAAGTTTCGATAGAAATCTAATATTATAGGTGGTATCGAAGGATAATTTGGAGAGTAAAAAAGATTTCTTTGAAAGATTTCATCTTAGTCGAAGCGTTGGCCCGTTTGCATTCGAACGAGAAAAAGGGGATTATAAGGTGTAAGATCGATCGTTACGGTAAGATCGAAAGGTTCGTAGGCGTGAAGAAGGTCCGCCGGTAAATAGTGGATCGTTAATGAGTGAGAGACTTAGATGATAATTAAAGATTCGCACGCTGCGTTTCCGCATGGTAGCTCTTTCTTTCTCTCTCATTCTCTCACTCTCTTCTTCTTTTCCTTATGGTTATTTTACTTTCTTACCGACCATTCTCAACAGAATAGTCCTTTCACGGCTACGTGAAACGAAAACGAAATCAGATAAGAACGATGTGGCATTTAGTATGCAACGATGCATTCATATCAATCGTTCCATGCATATGCAAGAAATTCATTTGGACACTTTGGATAGTCAAAAGAATGTATGTGTAACACAACGAATCGACAAAGTTCATTATACCTTTTTTTTCTTTTTTTTTTTTTTTAACAACAAACATGTGAGTTTTATTAATTAAAAGATTATATATATATATATAAAAGAACGAAATTACATGGACATTTTGATTAATCGTTTGATAATACTTTATGTTAATGATCGGATTTAAATATCACATGATATGGGAAAAATATCATTGGAGGATACTTAAATATGCCTCGTGTGTGATGTCGTCCAACCTCGGCGAAAGCTTGCAATAAAAAAAAAAAAAAAAAAAAAAAGACATAAATAAAAAGTAAAAGAAAAGAAATCAGAGGGGGGAAGCTCTTTGAAAGAGTCACTTGCACGCAATCGCAAACGGCGACATCCTGCATGGCTCACGGCGGTAATTACATCCTAAGTACTTCTGCGAAACGTCCCGTGCATGACTCTTTTTCCTCGCAAATATCTCATATGATTTTCTGACATTTTCTAACTTTGACGTTCCTTAGAAACGAGGATCTTAAAGTATCTTTTTAGCTTATACTCAAGAAGACAAATCTTTCTTTTTCTTTCTTTCTCTTACACGTTGTAATAATTTTATTTAACAGCTCGTTTGTTAATATTCATTGTGACGATGAATTGTGTTGAAAAAAAAAAAAAAATGAAACAAAAAAAAATAAATAAATAAATAAATGATTTTTAGTATGATATATGATCTAATAATATCGATAAACATTTTCAATGCAATTTCTATGCTTGATTCTATTGAGTAAAAATGTATGCAATTTATTAGTCGATGTTTACACTTAATTAGTGTGTTAAATAGATAAACTCAACAAATAAGTATATTTATACGCTTACAATTAGAATTAAGTGTATATATTTACGGCGTTGACGTTAACTATTACAACATGCACCTAAAGAGAGAGAGAGAGAGAGAGAGATAGCCATATACATATGTTATATATATATCTTTATCCTAGTCTTTTTTTTTTTGTTTTCTTCCTTAATTTTCATTTGCAAGATATATTATCTCTTTCGTTGATTTCTAAATAATCGTATCACTTCATGAAATTAGTTCTATTTCACTTGCACTGTTAAGTTTTTTTTTTTTTTTTATTCTGTTTATTCAAATATAAACGAAGTTCGTATTCGTCGAAGCGTGTGTGCTGTATCATTCTTATACTGCATGAATATTCAGGTATATAAATATACACCTATGTAGAGACGTTTTGCATAGTAGACTTATTTTGAAAGTGATTAGCACTTTTGTTATACGAAGCGATAGTAAATGAGTGAGCTAGTCGCTAATTAACAACAAGCGAAACGGTTAATTGACGATCCTCACTTTTGCGAAAGAAAAATAAATAATAAATGGATTTATGTGTATGTGTGTGTGTGTGTGTGTGTGTGTGTGTGTGTTTGTGTGTGCTCCGATCAAATTTGCATCTCTTGATCTATCGATTATTCGAGAGACTACATATATGAATAAATAATACATCAAATAATAATTTCATATCCTATACCAACATACAAAAGAAAAGTAAACGATCGTATTGTTGTCTGAATAAGAAATAAAACAAAAACAAGAAAAAAAAAGGAGATAATAATAGGAAAATAGATTATGTCATTTAAATGCAGTGCATCATTATTACAAATACTTCTTTTTCTTATATATCATTGATCGATGCAAAGTAATTTTTCATGTAAATCATGTTCTTTTACTTGGTTTGCAATAAATGAACAAAAAATCTGAATGATGCATAATGAATTGATCGATGTTGTTGAGATCAAACGAAACGCTTCGAGCTAAAAGGAATTTATTGTTTCTTTCCTATCTCTTTCTTATACATTTGTTTTTTTTTTTTTTAATATAAGAAACGGATTTAAAAAAAAAACATGTGTGCAGATCACACGAGTTAGAAGTGAAATCTTCAAAAAATTAAGTTTCGAGAGAATGAGAGGAATTACAAAATATTTGGTGTAGGATAATTGTATTCTCTTTTTATTTAGTATCTTGACCGTTTCATTGCCACTCACCGCTCCGTTACATCGCCGCCGTCTACCGCTCCGTTTCATTGCCGCCTACCGCTCCGTGTTACATTTTTTTTCAAATCACACGCATTCTAAAGAAATGTTCACTTGAAAAAATATATCTGATAAATTTCGATATTCCAAACACGTATTAACAATTTTTACAAAAAAAAAAAAAAAATGTCTTCTCGATATTGCAAGTTATATATATATAGATATATATAACTTTTAACATACGTGTCGTGAATTTATAAACGTAGTCATTTAGATTTAATAATAATCCTCGTAAACTAACTAGGTACTTACTTGAGATCGTGATAACTTTTAACATCCGACAATTAAGATCCAGCGATCGTTTATTTGCCAAATGGACCGGTCCTCGATAAAGTTTACTTACCGGCTGTAAGCACAAAATCATTTTTTCATTAAAAATTGATATACCTAACACTACTATACTTAAAGTGTGTGTGTGTGTATATGTGTATTTAAAAAATTGCAATACTTTCTATAAAATCTTAAGCTACGAATTTAAATCACTGATTATGAGTATAATAGAAAAAGGAAAAATATTATTGGAATGTTCGTAAAGTAATTTCATTTTTCTTTTTGTAAAAATGAAGACAATTTTTGTTTCCAGGTTAAATTTAGGATTTTCGAGTGGGTTTAAATAGTTGCATTTGATAAATTTAACTTCTCACCGATCTCACGTGTTGTTATTTGCCACTTTGCATCAATTCATGCAGAAAATTGTGTTAGGAAAAAGAAACGAAATTACTTTACGAACAGCTGTAAGGTTTGTTTCTTCTTCGATGTTCCAACGAATTCAATGGACTTAGATTGACCCACATAAATTCTTGAAAAAGTGGTTGTTCGCCAGGAATGGACAGCAAAAAAATACTAGGGACACGTGCCATTGGCTTGGAAACCGCGTACGGTCAGATTCATAGTACCGTAACAAGTGTTGATGGTGGTGGGGAAGAGGGTGGTGGGTAGAAGTGAGGAGGACAGTTCTTTTTATGAATGAAAGCCGAAACATGCGTACCAGTATCAGTTCATTGTATTAAAATATGAATATAATATATAATGATATTATTCAAATAAAAATACATAATCATCTTACTGTATAACAACATTACCGTAAAAGTTTCAAATAATTCAAGAAATAAATTCCATGAAAAGTACGCTAAAAGTGTATGAAAGTAACTGTAACCAACATATGTATTACTTACTTAAATAAATACATACCAAAAGGTATATAATAAATAAAAAAAAAAAAAAAAAGGAGTTCAGACTGGCAAGTAGGTAAAAGCGTATACCGTCGTAGTTGTGTTGAGGAAAGGGTGGAGGAAGGGAGAGGGGGAGAGAGAGAGAGGGAGAGAGAGAGAGAGAGTAGTGCGGGCAAGCGCGGTACGGATGCGGTATCCTCTGGTAAGAGGAAGACGTGATCGATGCCCGTGGGATGCGAGGGCGTTCCTGGTGCGGGAGGCGCACGAGACAAATGGACGTCGCGCGTCTCCCGACCACGCCTTCCCGCGGGAGAAGAAACTCCGTTTGCGTGTACCTTGGCTTTACCCAAGAGAATATCCTCGACGACTATCTACGACTACGACGACGACAACGAAGAAGACTACGACGACTACTACGACGACTAAAGCCAAAACTTGCTTCTTCGGAATGATCATTCTTGGATATTTTGATGCTACGTTATAGTTGGAAAGTGATCAACTTTTTCCTTTTTTTCTTTTTTTTTTTTTTTTCAAACCAAATCTTCTTTTTAATACTAAAACTTTACAAACAAAATGACTGCTATTTAAAAATAATTTTTATATATTTATGAATATTATGGAAGGTAGAAGTAAGGAGTATCATCTGTGTATATGAAAAGTGTCCATCGAAATGCATTCAATTAGGGTGGCGCCACAGTAGCTTGAGGGTAAATTTACATACTATTTACAGTTCACGAAATAAAATCACTTTAGCTACACGTTTTCTCATAATAATTCTTTAAAGTTAGATTTACTACATTATTACATAACTCGGCATACTTCAATTCGTTTACAATTGCTACATTCATACCATACCAACTACGTTCACCAGCGCCATTCTGGAAGCTTTTTGAACTGTTATTTTCAGAAAACGCTGGACACTTTATCACATTTTCTTCTATAAGAGATGTTACTCTTTACTTCTACCTTCCATAATATGAATTTGTATAATTCAATTGTTTAATATTGAATTACACATTACAAAGAACGTGTGAGATATTTACGTATACTCACGACCAATAATAACTCACGAAAATATATAACTCACCCAAGAAGTCAAACTCTTTGGAAATATTTATGAAGATAAAAAAGAAATAATAACACTGGCAACTTTTCAGCAGCTTTTTTTTTAAATCACTGCGGACAACATTTTTCAACTGCAGGAGAATGAGAAGAACGATGAATGTTAACGTTTTCGAAAAAGATAGACATTTTTTTTTTTTTTCATCGTAGAGAAGAAATTTCGTTGAAGAAGAAGGAGAAGCAAAGAAAAAAAAAAAAAAAAAAAAAAAAAAAA